AGGTTGGGCTGCTTCAGCCTCTCCTCCAGCCGGTCGTACTTGGTAGGCAGCACCCTCCGCAGAACGGCCTTCCCTTCCAGCATGGCCTGCAGCCTGTGCCTGCTCGTTTCAATTTCACGCGCTGGGCCTTGGATTTTCTCCTTCACCTTCTCGATCTCCTCCAGCCGCTTTTTCACAATGGTGCCGTATCTCAAGTTCTTTCTAACTGGCGTCTGGCAGCTGGGACACACCTTCAGCTTGACGGCACTTTCGTCTTCGTCCATGTAATAGTCGAGACCTTGGGACTCAAAGATGTGGCCGCAGTCTTCCAGCTGCACAAAGCAGGCTTCCGGATCCTCCTCAAAGCCAAAAAATATCTGAGTGACTTCATCGTGGTCACACACAAGGCACTTTTCGGGGCAGGGTTCCCCACACAGCCCGATGCAGGGATGACCACAACGCAGCTTCTTACTGCACCGTACATCACAGCGGGGCCTGTTGCATGGCTCTGAGCAAAGCTGCGTGCACTGGTAGTGCTGGCACCGCCACTCGCACGGCTCCATGCATGGGATACACATCTCCCCACATTTCTTTTTACACTGACTGTGGACGCAGTGGTTCTGACATGCTTGCTGGCAGGGAGGGCACTCCCCAGTGCAAGGTTGCTGACACTTGTGGGAGCAAACGAGGAAGCGCTTGCAGGGGTTCTTGCACTGCTCGTGAAATCGCCCTTCATAGCAGGTGTTGCAGGAGCCCGGGCACACATGGCCACAGTCCAGCGTGGTCACACATTTCGCTTTACACTTCACAGGCATCCCATTTTCCATCTCTTCTGTGATCCAGCATTTCACCTGCTGGTCGTGGCCACATTTTAATGTGACCATCACCAGCTCAGGACACTGGGCAGTTCATTCCTGCCCACAGAGCTTGTTACATTTGTGCCCACATGTCAGATACTTCTGACAAGGCTCTTGACAAGAAAACTCACTTGCAGGGGTGGAGCAAGGAACCATCTGTGGGTGGCCGCATTTGGGGATAGTTTTCGGCACTTTCACCATGCATTCTTCACAGGGTTCAGAGCACAAATGGGGGCAACGGTGCCCATCTTTGCAGAGCACCTTCTGGCAGGGCTTCAGACACTGAAACTCCTTGTGCTGGATGTCATAGGGGTGACATGCCCGAGTGCAGACGTGTCCGCAACTCAGCCTGAACTCACAGGGGCGGCTGCAACCCCCTTCTGGAACTTGGCAGAAGTCTGCTGCTTTGGACACCAGGGTCCGAGTGTCAGGGTGGTTCTGGCAGCACAGTATCAGCGAGCGGCCGATCCGACCTTTCTCTCGGAGAGTGTGAATGATCTTGCTCCAGAGGGGGACCTTGCCGAGCATCCCCATGTTCCCAATGCAGTACAGCCCTTTCTTGGCTCTGGATAATGCCACGCAGATCCGGTTGGAAATCTGCAGGAATCCAGCTCTCTCTTCCCTGTTACTTCGCACAAGTGACAGCAAGATAATGTCGTTCTCCTCACCCTGGTACTTATCCACCACGTGAACTTTCACACCTGCAAAGGTTTTGGCAGGCATGAGCCTGCGCAAACAGAAAAGCTGCCCAGTGTAGGTGGTGAGGATGGTGATCTGAGAGGGCAGGTAGTCCTGGCACAGGAAGTACTTGCATAGCTCCACCACGAATTTGGCCTCGTGTGGGTTCTGATGGCTTTTCCCTTCCTGGATTTCCTCTTCAGGGAAGTCATGCTCCACAAAGAAGAGGTTAGATACAACCCCCTGAAATGAAGAGAGGGGGAAAGGTCACCAGAGAAAAGAAGAGTTCCTTCCAACATGGCAACCTTCCCTTTTGCATCTGTGGTTTCTCCCCTAAGACTTCAGGCATAGTTTACAGACTCCAGGGGGGGGGTGCAGTGCGGCAGAGCATCACACACCCAAGGCAAAGCCTCTGTCAGACATTTCCACAACATACCTAGCAAGAAAGAAAGACTTTCAGGTTGCAAGCCATGCCTCAGAGTCCTGATAGGACAGCACTGACAACTCAGAAATGCTGCACTATTTGGAAGAACCGAGTTCTCTCATCACCTGCAATATTCTTCACATTATCTAGAAGGGATGGGTGCTGGTGGATGTTTGCAGGCAGATGTTCCATACACTAAAGACAAGTTTTCCTTTGAGGGCAGGGGAATGGGTGGATGGACAGGCTTTATCACTTACAGATACCCAGCAGCTTGGGTGGAATGCACACGTGCACTTTCCAGTGACGTGTCTGTGTGGTACTTGCAGTCCACATAAGTCTTATCTCAGGGTCTGTGGCACTTTGGTTCTGAAATCCAAATAAGCTCATTCATTTAGAGGTGCGTTCCTCCTCCTTTCACCCTACTTTAGGGCCTGAGTATTTAAGGTCTTGTATTTTGTCTGAAGGAGGAAGGGATATCTGGCAGCCCTTTGCTTTTGTGCCAGCATAACTAGTTTGATGGAAAAGGGCAATACAGTGGATGCACTGGCTCATACTTCGGGCTGCACTTGTGGCATGCTTGCCAAAAAGGATGGCCACTACTGGCCTTCCCACACTGTTTCTTACCACTTTGTTCCACTGTTAGTCATCCTCACTGCTAAATATATCTGGTCTAATTTAAAATTTGCCTCAGTTCAGCATTGACCTGTTGGTTCTCATTTGTCTCTGCTACATTAAGGAATCCATGAGTGCCAGTATGTTCACCTCATGAAGTAAATACATAACAATCCAGTTGCTGATCTGTTTTCTAATAAGAAGATTAAGCTCCTAGGGTGCCTCGTTCTAGAAGTGTTTTTCGAGCCTCCAATCATCTATGCATCATTCTGCATCTTTCAGATCTTTGTCATCTTTCTTAGAAGGTTGCCGTAAGAACTGGATGCAGCACCATAGTCTGTCTTGTTGCTGCCACATACAGTTGCCTCCTATAGCACCTAATTCCCAAGTCAGCTGTCATACTTTTTAAAACAGACGAATTTAATGAG